AGCATATACCTAGATCACGCGCACCTACAGTGATTTTCTTGCATATATATATATATATATATATATATATATATATATATATATATATATATATATATATATATATATATATATATATATATATATATATATATATATATATATATATATATATGTATATATATATAGCTACGTTTTTTTACGATCCATTTTTTTTACCGCCCCCACGTCCCGTGGGGCGGTGACCTTTGCCCGGCTGAGGTAATCTCCATTAAAAAGAATAAACCTCCTTTTTTGTTGTTGTTATGATATTACTGCGCTTAAACAACTAAGGTTTTTAAGCACGTAACAAGATTAGTAATGCAGTACAGTAGTACAGCAACATTAATAATTGTGATATATAGAACTCTGTGTTAATTGTTATGAGATCCCATGTGGTCTAGTGGCTAGGATACCTGGCTTTCACCCAGGAGGCCCGGGTTCGATTCCCGGCATGGGAAGATATTTTATTTGCCACCAGTGGTGTAATGGTCAGCCTGCTCACCTCGCAAGTGAGCGGACCAGGGTTCGATCCCCTGGCAGGGTGGAATTATGGGCAAGTTTCTTTACTATATTTGCTTCTGTCTACCCAGCAGTAATTGGGAACCTGGATGTTAAACAATTTGCGGATCGTATTCCAGGGTAATGATTAGCCAGTGCAGTTGGCGAGTTGTCCGGTCTTCTCAGAGTATTCCTTGACACTAGGTCATGCAACTTGTTAACTTAGGGTGTGGTTGTTGTGTTGGTGACAGCTTCTACACCTTAAACAAATTCACGCCGAGGCGGCCCTTGGGGCAACCATTATTCATTATTAGTTATGATGATATCCAGCGGTTTTGGTGTTTGTTCATCTTTGTTGTGTCTCAGAGTTTCTACAAAAAGAGTTGCAGGGTTAAGGTTATTCGGTGTACATTCATGTGCCAGTTGATGTCGCTATAATTCAAGTTGAGCGCGGGTATGTTGTCCATTAAGAATCTTATATTTTTTATTCAGTAAACTTCAATTTGGAGATATAAAATACACCCAACAATGAATAACTATTCCCTTCAGTTTAATCATACATCATTTTGTTTCTTTAAAAATATCTTCCCGTGCACTCTCACCTCAGCAACCTGGGACTAGGTCATAAAAATTATGACCAACTCCCAGGTTGCTGATCTGACTCTGCCTCATTTACACACAATTGCTCAATTGTTTCTCTTACCATTGACAACACAACATACATACAGTATATTGTTTCTCACTCTTGTCTTTTTTTTTAATTTTTGTATTTCTTATGGTTCTTTATTATTATTATTATTATTATTATTATTATTAGTGTTGTTATTATTATTATTATTATTTTATTTAAGATTTATTTTTTATAAATTTTATTTACTATAAATTATTATTATTATTATTATTATTATTATTATTATTATTATTATTATTATTATTATTATTATTATTATTATTATTATTATTATTATTATTATTATTACATTTTCGCCCCCCAGGCCCCGATGTGGGCTAATCCCCGTAAAAAAAAAAACCCTGATTGGTTCTTAAGGTCCTGTCCACTACAGTATAAATATCATACCCCTTCACAGATTACTTCAGAGAGGTTCGTAAATGAGTCATAGCCAACAATATTAAACTCCCATTCAGCAAGATCGACCCTCTTGTCTTTATACAGTAGAGTTTTAAATTCCGTTCTCTTATCGAATATTAAACCGGATTTCGCAGATTGTAGTGGCCCCCGACTTGGTAAAGGATTTGGCCCCATTGTATACTGAGCAGATACCTCATTTACTCTCTTTGTCGTATTATGTACAGTAGGTGTGGTCAGAAATATATTTATTTTATATATTGATCACCGCCTAGAGTCCTCGTGGTCTAACTAGCACTAGCCTCCACTACTTTATCCTTGTGTATAGCTCAGTGATGTCCATCTCTCTTGTTCGTTGAATCTTCTCTCTTTTGCTTCAAGCTTATCCGGTGTTTCTTGTGGTCTTCCCTCTGCATTACTTTGTGATCTGAACTTATGAAAGTGTCCCGAAAGTTTTGATTCGAATTCCTTGCAAAGTTTGCTTGTCGAATAGCATCCCACTTTTTTTTTCACTCTTGAAGATCGTTCCGGCCTTCTTATAAGACCTTATCATTTATTTGCCTGATTTACCTTCTTCTCGCAATGGCTCGAGAACTTCAGCTGATTGTCACACCTAGGTCCTTTTCACATTCAGTCTCAAATAGTGCAGTTTCTTCATCCTGTTGGGACATATGATACGCCTCCTTACCGTTGGTGCGCCCCAGGTGCATCCTCTTACACTTCGTGACATTGAATCTCAGCAGCTATTTCTTCGACCATTCTTGGAGCTCACAGGGATCCTTCTGCAGCTCTTCACAGTCCGCCTGGTTCTTGATTTCCCGAAAAAACTTGGCGTCATCCGCAAACATTTGTATGGAAGAGTGTACAATGTCAGGCATGTCATTTATGAAACAAACAAACAACAGCGGGCCCAATACACTGCCCTGTGATGCCCCAAAATTGACAGGTACAGATGATGATTTCGTGCCATTAATCACCACACATTGCTTGCGGTCATGTAGAAAATCTTCTATCCACGCTAGGACATTTCCCCGAATTCCGAAACCCTTCCAGTTTGATTTTCAGCCTTACATGGGGTACACTGTCAAAAGCCTTAGCAAAATCTAGGTATATATTGTCGATATTATCACCCCGTTCCAGAATGTGGGTCCAAATATTCAATACCTTGAGCAATTTTGTTAAGCAGGAGCGCACCGGCATAAAACCGTGTTGGTAATCCTTTACAAGGTTATTTCGTAGTAGATGTTCCATCACTGCATCTCTGACAATAATCTTAAGTACTTTACATACAATGCTGGTCAGACTCACCGGTCTATAGTTGTTCGTGGAGTGACGATCGCCCATCTTGAAGACAGGACTCGCATAAGTCATTTTCCAATCACTATAGGACTTTTTGTTCATCCAGGCATTTACAGAACAGGATCTTCAGGGGCTCGGCAAACTCGTTGCACAGCTCTCTTAGCACGTTGGGATGCACCATGTCGGGGCCGGGACTCTTATGGACCTTTAACTTTGACAGTTTATTTCTTTTACCCTCTTCTGTCAACACAATGTGGGTCTGTGCTGTGTCAAACCGTCTGTCCTCAAACGCAGGGAGGTTAATTCGCATCCTCTCTTGTGAACACAGAGGAAAAGAAGCTGTTCAGTGTTCAATGTCTCAGCTTTATCCTGGTCAGAATCGGCGTAACTACCATCTTCAAACCTCAGGTCTGATACTCCTACTAGCGTTTTTAATTTCGAGTTTGCATAGCGGTAAAATGCCTTTGGGTTTGACTTGACCTACACCCTCCTGTCCTGCTCATCGCTTGACCTAACCCACGTCTTGAATTTCTGGGTTTTCTTAACTTTGTCGACCGCCGCTTGGTTCATGTGTAGTGGTCCCCTCGTATTCCTAGAAGCACTGAGTTTGCTCTTGGGTATATATTTATCGATCAAATGGGCCACTTTACTAGTTATGATATTCAGCATAGTGTCTGCGTTCTTGTGCCTTAGTGAGTCAGGCCAGTGGATACCCCTCATCTCTTCCCTCATCCCGTTGTATTTTCCCTTGTAATATTTGCACCTTGGCCTGGCTTTATCTTGAACTAGGTAACAGTTAAATCTGAATGACAACATTACATGGTGACTGGTGCCAACTGGGGCTAGATGTTCCAGTTTGGCCACCATACCCTCCTCGTTTGTTATGATGAGGTCCAGTGGCTTGGGTGTTTGCTCCCCTCTGTAATGTGTCTGGTCTTTAACATGTTGGAACAGAAAGTTATCTCTCAGAGTTTCTACAAAAAGAGCAGCAGGGTTATTAAAGTTATTTGGGATGAACTCGTTTCTCCAGTCGATGTTGCCATAGTTAAAGTCCCTCATGATAAGGAGGTGGCTAGGGTTAAGCTTCGCTGCGTTGTCTTTTAGAAGGCTCTTAAGTTCCTTTGATTTAGTGGGCTACAGTTTGGGGATCTGTAGATACACCCGACAATAAGTAAGTCTCTCCCTTCAATTTAATTTTACACCACTTGGACTCTTCAAAAACATCCTCTCCCCATACCCTCACCTGGCTGGCTCTAAGGTCTTGCCTCGTTAACTTAAGGTGTGGTTGTTGTGTTAGCTACAGCGTCTACGCCACAAACAAATTCACGCCTAGGTGGCCCGAGGGCCGGCCATCCTCGTTACACGAGGGGCAACCATTATTATATTATGTATAAACTATGGATAAAGTGAATAGTATGTGTTGAGAAGCTCTAGGTTTCTTGTTTACTGTTTAGGTAATCGGCCCAAGGAAGTCTAGGAATCCCAATGAAGCCAGCAACCTTGACATCATTAATCGTACCCATGCCTTATGTGTGCTAATGTTTCTGGTTGATGTACAATGAATTTATTTGCTTACACCGTTCGACGTTTATTTACGGAGAAACAAATATACCTTGAAAAGATCCTAGACACCTCGAGTTCCTGAAGTTGCGTTAGTGAAAGTGAGGTATTGCGAAAAGTCCAGCTGATTCATTTATGATCTATCTGATGTAGTGTATCACCAAGAATTTACTGTTCACTTGTCACTTAGTCACAATATGTATTAATGGGAAGCAGGAGTAAATTAATAACTTTTATGAATTTATATTGTATTTCGTCATTTGTCGATGTGGAATTATATGTGTAGAAGTATATGGCAACTGTCCAGGCGGCACTACCATATTGTTGAATAAACGAATGAATGAAAGCTCAGTAAGGCATTTTATCAAAGAGATTCTTCCTGTTGTTACTGAATTGTAATCATGACATAGTATCCACAATACCAAAAGTTATCTGATTAACAAAGTGGTTTGTTTAAGCAAAAATCAGAGACTTAAATGCGGAATTTAACATCTACCCTTCACTAGCGTCCTCGAGGTGGCTAAAAACATTCTTTAGTAGGGATCAGTAGGTTCGCGGTGGTGGGTAGTGTCGGGTCTTTGCTGCTGTGTGTGACTCACCTGTTGTGTGACTCATTAGATAAAGGTGTGGGAGCCTGAGCCATCTCCCACATAACAAGGCGCCTCTCTTAAAACTCAGGAAGTGGGTGATACTACTACCATGTGCCTGTACGTGGGTTAACATTGTCCTCGTGCTCTACCTTGTGTTTACAACGTTCTTATAAATGAATGACAGTCTGAATCAGTAGAAATACTGAATATATTGTAAAGCAATTGAAAAAGAGGGATGCCATATACAGTACTGTAGTGTAATAATGGTGCGTCGCTGAAGTGAATACTGATATGTGTGTTTAAGTGGAAAAAGTGTCGTACTGTACAACGTAGCTTGTCAAGATAATGACACAGTAACAGTGAGGAACCCTCGTGGTAAGTAGCACTAAATGTTCCCCCACTTTGTTAATTACACAATAGGTCGCGTATGTGTTCTGTGAATATTTTGATGTTTCTAGAAAAGTGCCATTGATACTAACACTATTATCATAATAATGTTAATTAGTGTACGTAAGTCTCGTAAGTGTACGCTGGCCTCATTGAGTGATAGTGTATTGTTACGTTCACAGTCATAACAACAGTACTATAGTGCATTGATACACACGTGAACAGTCATCTCCCTTACGGTGGCAACGGCTGATCATACTTCTAAATAAAGGTATGACGAAATTTCACGTGGACCAGGTAGCTTATATATATATATATATATATATATATATATATATATGATTGGGAAATAACGGTTAGTCACTGTTTTATTAATTATACCTATTCACTAAAATGTGGATAGCGTTGAATAACTCTTATCACTGAACAAATAGAATGCGGAACAAGGTTTTTCTAGGCTTGGCTGGTAAGTCACTGGATATCATGGCAGCTAGACAATGTCATAATTTTGTCAAGAAGTTTAGTGTATTTCTTTTCTTAATTAATTTGATTTGTATTATGATCACAAATAGACACAAGTTGTAAACATTGAGAGTATTCCACCATCATTTCCTCATTTATTATGTAAATAATTTATATTTATCGTAATAAATTTGAAAAGGATTCTTTAAATCTTTATTTAATATTATTTTTTGTTCATTCATATTTATCGTCAGCCACAGGATAAGAATACTGGTTATACTTTCGGACAACTCTGGAATATTAGGAATTTTATCTTAGTGATCAATAGTTTAGGCACTTATAAGACTTTTATTCTGTGACGTTTCCCTCGCAAATGACCTAAAATTACCTAGCATACCCCCCCCCCTCCCCCGCATATATTCATGTAAGTCGTCTGCGAGGGAAATGTCTTAGAAGAAAAGTGTCTTATAAGTGTCTAAACTATTGATAATAAAGATAAAATTCCTAATAGTGAGATGTGTTACTGGTGTTTTTAATACAGTGGCACCATCCCTTATAAACTTGGCTGGGGAAGTTATCAGTACTGGTAGGGGCTGGTCTGTTGACTCTTCTAGAACAAACTCTTCTGCCATAGTGTGGTTAGAGGTATTTTTATGTGCAATTAGTTTTTAAATTAATTTTGTTAGTATTTGTGTATGAGTTGCCATTCATAAGGTTTCATTTTTAATACGAAGTTGATGTCGATGCTATATATATTGTATTAGTTTGTTTCAGTAACTAAGGTTTTTGAGCGCGGGTACTAGGTTACTAAATACACTTGACATCAGCTTAAGAAATTAATATAAAAGCAGCTGGTCCTTTTATATTGTGAAGTTTTCGTGTAAGTAATGTTCTCTATCATGTAATAGATATTTACAAGCAAATTCCTCTAAAACAAAGGTGTTGATTTAAGAAAAAATCGGAATTTTGTTTTTAAGTAAATGTCTTGTAAACATACACGTTTTACTAGCAGTAAAGTTCCCCATTAAAAATAAATTTCAATGTGCTAATGCATCCTTTAAACAGAGATGTGTAATCAAACGTCCACACTAACCATTATATTTGTAAACGGAGTGTGTGTGTTAAGTTTTCCTCATGAGTCTGGCCTTTGAATTTTCCTCTACTGGTAACTTGAGTCAGTTCTTTTCTAAAACACATTACTGTTTGTGTTCGTATCCTCATCGTAAATCCAGCTGAAGTTTAACCTTTCATAGTGGAGCATGTAAACAATCGTGAGTGGGCTGACTGCTCCCGCCTGTACGTGGTTGAATCAGAAACAAGAGAAAATGTATCTTTCTTGAGTACTGTCAGTTGTCTTGTGTAGATACTAAGACAATATTCCTCTTGAGTACTGTCAGTTGTCTTGTGTAGATACTAAGACAATATTCCTCTTGAGTACTGTCAGTTGTCTTGGGTAGATACTAAGACAATATTCCTCTTGAGTACTGTCAGTTGTTGTCTTGTGTAGATACTAAGACAATATTCCTCTTGAGTACTGTCAGTTGTTGTCTTGTGTAGATACTAAGACAATATTCCTCTTGAGTACTGTCAGTTGTCTTGTGTAGATACTAAGACAATATTCCTCTTGAGTACTGTCAGTTGTTGTTGTTGTCTTGTGTAGATACTAAGACAATATTCCTCTTGAGTACTGTCAGTTGTCTTGTGGAGATACTAAGACAATATTCCTCTTGAGTACTGTCAGTTGTTGTCTTGTGTAGATACTAAGACAATATTCCTCTTGAGTACTGTCAGTTGTTGTCTTGTGTAGATACTAAGACAATATTCCTCTTGAGTACTGTCAGTTGTCTTGTGTAGATACTAAGGCAATATTCCTCTTGAGTACTGTCAGTTGTCTTGTGTAGATACCATAACCTAACCTAACCTTACCTTGGCCATTTAAGATCCCAAATACATTAAAACACCTCCACCAACAACAACAAAAACAACATCAACAACAACATCATAGCTGGTAGGTTTCATTTGGGTGTGTGTGTGTGTGTGTGTGTGTGTGTGTGTGTGTGTGTGTGAAGCTCCCATGAGAAAGCTGGTCTGTCTGGCAGCCATGTGTCTACTACTGACAGCCAGATAACACCTACGGTCAATACACCTGTTTCAGTCCCAAGGATGTGAATTTTATCAACAGTTAACACTATTTCTTTATTGTTTACTATATTAAACTTGTCCTCACTAATAGATAGTTTATACCGTACTTAAGGTATCGTGTAGTACCTATTGTAGTACATGATTTAGATAATTTGTTCTTACCTAAATATAACCACATTTATATTAGAATTGACTTATATTTATGCTGCATATGTACGGTACATTGGGGATACGATTAATTGCTGTAAAGTGTGTAGTTCTTGTTTTGGTCTTGTACTGTATATAGCTGCTTGTTACAATATTCATGTGTACCGCACTGTTTGACACACTACTACTACTTTGCTGTCACTCGGAATCGAGTATGACGATCATCCAGCTATGATACAGTGATATGAGTTATTAAGTTTGTCACCTTTGTTGGTGAGTTTTGAGGTGACTAAAGAAGCCGTTACGGGACCCGCAGGGTCGTCCACATTCGGTGTACATGTGGAGGGCTGCATATAGTGCGGGAGGGGCGGTGGCAGCGTCTTTCCGGCGTTCGCGCCTTTCTGCCGCGGTTTGCAGTCGGGCTAACTCGAAAGTATTGACACCTCGTGTGGTGGTGGTCCTAGCGTTACGATGTGGAGTAATCGACTCCCAGGTGAGGGGGTCGATTTGGCACTGTCACACACACACACACACACACATAAAGGAAGCCCCTCAAAATCGGGGATGGCCGGCCCAAGGGCCACCTCGGCGTGATTTTTTTTAACTTTAAGGTGTAGAAGCTGTCGCCAACACAACAACCACACCCTAAGTTAACGAGCTGCATGACCCAGCGTCAAGGAATAGTCCGAGAAAGCTGGACAACTCGCCAACTGCACACACACACACACGATCACTAAGTTTTCCTGCTTGTGATGATGTGTGACTGTTCCTCGTAAGAGAGAGAGAGAGAGAGAGAGAGAGAGAGAGAGAGAGAGAGAGAGAGAGAGAGAGAGAGAGAGAGATCATCACACCAATTAATAATAATAATAATAATAATAATAATAATAATAGCATCGTAGAGTAACATACACCTGTACTACTAATAAAGGCCAACACTCATTACATAGTTAAGAGATGACGATCACAGGGCAAGACGTGATAAGGTATCAGTGTAGCCTTGAACTTGCTGGCTACACTCAGCTCGTCTCTAGTCTCCTTCACGCTGAGGCAACTGTTTAGTGAGGGAATTACCCATTACTTGACACCATCACCAGCTGTATAGTGAGAGAGAGAGAGAGAGAGAGAGAGAGAGAGAGAGAATATTATTGCTTGACACTGTTACTATTTGTTAATGCAGCGAGAGATATCTACTGTATATCATTAAAAAAAACAGTGTGAGACTTACTACAATTATTAAAGACCAATACGTGATTGTGATGGCGAAGTTGTCTGCCGAAGTACTTGGGAGTTAGTGACTACTGTAACTGACTCAGTACTGTATGAATCTTGAAATCCTGTTCCAGATTTAAAAAAAAAAAAATAAAAAAAATAAAACAAAAACAAAGTGTTACGTTATTGTAAAAATGGTTAATGTATCGTACAAAAAGGGTTAAGTCATCGTACAAAAAGGGTAATTCGTCGTTTTTAAGGGTAAGTTAATCGTGCAAAACGGGTTAAGGAACATTTGTAGTGAGGTTGACGTAATTTGTGGGATAAACTGCGTCATGGTGTAATTTTTAAGGATTTCATGTTATTTAATGCTGACAGCTGGTCTTCTTTATAAAACTTTGGTAGTATTATTATGAAGCCATACTTATATTTATTTATTAATTAATTTATTTATTTTATTCTCAGTAATAAATCTAATTAGAAATTTGACTTATAAAACATGACAAAACGTTAAAAAAAATAAATAAATAAATAGGGATCTTCTCTCCACCGAAATATATCCTTCTTTTACACCTAAGATCTATCTCGGTTTTAAACATCACAAGGAACACTAAATCTACCCGTGAATGGCTCTAGTCTTCTCCCTGGTATAAGACGAGCTGGTTAAGTCGATCCCTTACGCCACCCCTGAGGTGATTACTGCAAAGCGAAGGCAGATGCCACCGCCCCCCCCCCCTCCTCAACCTTAGGCAGCTCTGTTTTAAAGAATATTGCGGTCTTGCTGTTGTTGCGGTCTGCTTGTGGTTGTGGTTGTGTTGTTGTTGCGGTCGTGCTGTGTCATATATTTTATATTTACCGTCGCAGAACAGTTTCCCGTCACTCATTCAGTGTACTGCTCTGCAGTACTACAACACTACAGTCGCACACTACAGCAGTTACACACTTTGAAGCGCTACAGGAGTTACACACTTTACAGCACTACAGTTACACACTTTACAACACTACAGGAGTTACACACTTTACAGCAC